TATCTCTCTCTCTCATTCATTCATTCATTCATTCATTCATTCAATCATTCATTCTCACTCTCACTTTCTCTTACTGTTAAATATGAGCTAGATTTTAGTGTACTTTGCAGTATTGTTTCATTTATTAAACCAGGATATTACTAAAAGATTGATTTATGATGAATATCAGATTTAATTTTTAAAGAATTGATGCTAGTGGCACATAAAAATGTTAAATAACATAAAAGATTTTTTATTTTTTATTTTTTTGGCTCAAATACTTTGTAAGAGACCATTTTATATTACTGATGACAAAGCAAAATATAGACCAGGGGAAAATACCCATACCCTAGGATTCAGCAGTTCTAGACCTTATTTATTTCATAATTATGAACCTTTGGCATTATTCTGATAAAGCCTGTTTGTTTCCGTCTTTTGAAGGAAAGAGGAAGACATTGAACTGAAAAGATATCTGTTTTTTCTTAAGTTATGATTACAATTCTGTTTCCTCCAATAATATTCAAAGAAAATACAGGAAGAAAGAATTCATTTTGGTGTATTTTATTTTGTGCCATTGTGCCAAATACTACTATTTTTTAGTAAATCTATATGAAAAGACCTGTGAAAATAGAGAAATTATAAATTAAATGTTCACAGACTAGTCATGGAGAAGAAAAAAATATTTACAAATATATGCACATAGTATTTTTCTTTTTCTTTAACTACTTTTTTTTTCATATCAAAGACTGTGATATAGGAAATCCAAGGAAATAAAACAGATTTCAAGAACCACTTTAATACTGTTTTTAATTCTTAAAATCCATAGTATAAAGCATAATCATAATTATTGGGGTATAACTTGTCCATCTTAAGCAGCAGTTCTCAAAATGCATGCCATGGAACTCTCTCAAATGAGTTGTGGAATAAATGTAGCTCTGGAATGTAAAAGTGAGACTGAAACTGTATTTCCAAAGACTGCTAATGCTCACATTATATGTTCCGTTTATCTGTGGGCACCATGAGGGCTTGGCAAGGAGGCTGGAAAAGTATTTTACCAATTATATCTGCTAAAAATTATGATTGAGTACATCCAAATGTTCACAATCCATCAAATATACCACAATTTGGCTTCCTTAAAAATGTAATATTTGCAATGACTCCACTGTAAAACTCAACTATTCTGAAATGTTATTTGAAACATTTAAAATTTATACTGTGGAAGAAATGTTACATATGGCTTTAACAGTTAAAAATATTCTTTCCCAGTTCTTGACCTCCTTATTTGTACAAACTAGGTTTCTCAGCACTTACTTACATAAAAACAAAGAAAGAGTAGAGACTGCTAGGTGCTGAAGAATGAATGTGCCTATCATGTGGCCCTCATTTTCATATACAAATGCAGTCAAAGTTACGTGTTATATATATCAGGAGTTTTATTCTCATACTGGAATGTTATTACACATTATTTACAGTGGAGTTATATATATGCAATCCCTTGTAAAGGCCTACTATATATAAATGTATTTTCCTAATTTGGTTGAGTAAAGAGTTGATGTGACATGGAAGTTAAATATAATTCTTCAGTGTATCGTCATATAATAAAGTTTGAAAACCACTGATTCAATGAATGTTTAAACAGAAAAAAAGCATTTTCCTTAACAGAGCACTTTAATACTTTCATATTTCTGAAGCATGCCTTTTAGTTCTTCTAATGTGTAATCTTTCTTTGTTCGTACATAATATCTTCATTTGTACTTTTCACTTGATGTAAACATCTGAAGTAATTTATTGTGGTTGGACTATAAAAGTTACATATAAATTTATACATTTCAAAAGCATGATTTTTTATTTTGATAAAATACTTTAGCGTGTTTAATTATCTCTGGTTTCCACAGTGTTGACAAACTGGTGAAAGTCTCTAGCGAGTAGTTTTGGCCGCTCCATGGCTGCAAAATGTCCCCCTACTAACTGATCGCTGAAAAATATAAGGTTAATGATGAGTGCCTAATCATTATTTTTTATACAATCACATAAAATCTCAAACAAGTGTTACCAATGATTATAATATATTCTAAAGTTGCATAAACTAATGCAAAAAGACAAAATAGATTATAAGATATTATAAAGTTGCATAAACTAAAGCAAAAAGATAAAATAATCATGTCAGGTATGTCATTTATTTATAATCTTTCTATTTCATGTATGCAAATTGTCCTAAGAAGGAGAATGGAGAATTTAATGCAAATTGTCCTAAGACTGAGAATTTAAAGATCAAAATAAAAATCTAGTTTCTAGGCTGTGATAAACAAGTACAATCAGACAAATACTGACCTGTAGCTGACAATATCATAAAACTTGTGAGCAACAAAGTTTTTAGGTTGGTTTAAAAGGTCATGCGGAAAGGCAGACATGGCCGATGGCACACGGCAAGGATTGCTACAAGAAAGATAATAGACAACAATGAAATAATTAAATTCATTAACAGATAAGTTATCATTATAATCATTTTTTAATTTATCAGCATAATAATCATTACTAAAATCATCATTACTATAAACATTCTTCAGATAAAAAATGTCATTATAATAATGTTTAAAATTATCACCATAATAGTCATTTCTAAAATTATCATTACTACTCATTCTTCACATAAAACATCACCATCATGACAGCTACTAGAATTATCACTTTTATAACAGAAAAATCATTATTACAATCATTTGCTGTTAAAGTGAATGTTACCATCATAATCTTTACATGAATTACCCTATCATAAATGTTCTTTGTAATTATCTTTATATGTATTACACAGTATAAATTTTTCTTACCTATCAAGATTGTTTGCCATGCTTTTTGGACTAAAGTTTTCAGCATAGTAACGCATGCTTGTTGTGATGGAACCAGTGAACCTGCAATTATTCAGCACTATTAGCACTCTTATAAGGGAGTATTACATGATCATTACAAAACATGCACGCACATGCATGCACGCTCAAAAGCACGCATACACACATGCATGCATGCACGCACGCACGCACACACGCACACCCACGCCCACGCCCACGCCCACGCCCACGCCCACGCCCACGCCCACGCACACGCACACGCACACGCACACGCACACACACACACACGCCCACGCCCACGCCCACGCCCACGTACACGCACACGCACACGCACACGCACACGCACACGCACACGCACACGCACACGCACACGCACACGCACACGCACACGCACACGCACACGCACACGCACACGCACACGCACACGCACACGCACACGCACACGCACACGCACACGCACACGCACACGCACACGCACACGCACACGCACACGCACACGCACACGCACACGCACACGCACACGCACACGCACACGCACACGCACACGCACACGCACACGCACACGCACACGCACACGCACACGCACACGCACACGCACACGCACACGCACACGCACACGCACACGCACACGCACACGCACACGCACACGCACACGCACACGCACACGCACACGCACACGCACACGCACACGCACACGCACACGCACACGCACACGCACACGCACACGCACACGCACACGCACACGCACACGCACACGCACACGCACACGCACACGCACACGCACACGCACACGCACACGCACACGCACACGCACACGCACACGCACACGCACACGCACACGCACACGCACACGCACACGCACACGCACACGCACACGCACACGCACACGCACACGCACACGCACACGCACACGCACACGCACACGCACACGCACACGCACACGCACACGCACACGCACACGCACACGCACACGCACACGCACACGCACACGCACACGCACACGCACACGCACACGCACACGCACACGCACACGCACACGCACACGCACACGCACACGCACACGCACACGCACACGCACACGCACACGCACACGCACACGCACACGCACACGCACACGCACACGCACACGCACACGCACACGCACACGCACACGCACACGCACACGCACACGCACACGCACACGCACACGCACACGCACACGCACACGCACACGCACACGCACACGCACACGCACACGCACACGCACACGCACACGCACACGCACACGCACACACACACGCACACACACACACACACACACACACACACACACACACACACCTATATATAACTTAACAATCTGATTAACAACAGGTATGTGTAATAATCACTTCTTAAACATATTAAAATGAATGGCTACAAGCTTGATTAAATAATGGATAACAACTGAAATATAAACGACAGTACTTACCAATAAATGCAGATATTATCCAAGATCTTGTCAATATCAATAGGAAAATGTTTGTGCAAAAGCCCCCCATCCACTTCTTTGTAATTATCTTTATGAGTCCAAGAACTGAATTTCTCCATTATATAAGCAGCCAAACTAACAGGGTTTTGGTTCAGTGCTGCACCTGTAATAGTATGGAGTCTCCTCTTAGCAAAAGTCAAATTAGGGATGAAGATAAATGGATCAGAATATTTTAGATGACACTGACAGTGACATACTGAACAGAGGAGAAAGAATGATAACTGAGGAGACTGAGTAAGAGAAAGAATTAACTTCTTTTTTTTTTCATCTATTTTCTTACCATCTCTCCCTTACCGATAGTATCTGGTTTTGTAGCCTGAAGGTGAAGATAACCAGTCTCACGAGCAAACATGCCCAACTTTTCTGTTAAGGGATAGAGCTTTTCCTGGTCTTCATGAGATACCACAATGCCCGATGGAAGAAAAGCTCCCAGAATCAGCTTCAAATTAGGTCCTATGCTGTTGGCCACAAACATGTTGAGATGGATACCCAGCACACTGTTGGGAAAAAGATAATCTTGTTAGCAGTAGATGATGATTTATAATTCATAATTATGGATTATCGTATAAATTAAGTCAATAAAACACTTTAATTAATATACAGAATAAAGCTCAATGGCCATCACTGTGTCATTGAACTTATCCTCTACATACATAAAGACAGAA